TGCTTTTGTGACCTGTGTGTCAAAGAGCAGATGCTACTGTATCCTTTCAGACATAATTATTGCATAATTGTAGGTAGGTCTTGCAGGCAGGAAAAGCAAATCAGGGCCCACTACATGAAATAAACTACAATTGCAGTGCTATATTGCTTGCTTCTAACCACATTAGAGAAGCTCTTTGCGCTAATTATATGGTTATCTTTCTGTTGGATAAAGGATGGCAAACAGAACAAGGTGTTGTTTTTTCTTCATTAGATTGACTTAATATATTAATTACTATCATGTCATTATCATCACATAGTGTTATAGATGTCTTGCAAGAGATGGTGGGATGTCTTTTTATTTATTTATCTATTATCTATTTATTTATTTATTTTGTATTTTTCTTTGTTGCCTGACTTCTCATTTTTGGGAATAGTGATTTGATAGACTCTCTCTTCAGTTTTTTTCCAAGTCTTCCTGAGTTGTTGCTTACAGAACATAATCATCAGCCACAGACATGTACGTGGCCATGCACTTTTTTTCTTACTGCACTTGGGTCTGTTTTTGTGGATGCTCCTGCCTTCTGGAGGAGTGTCAACACTTTTTCGTCTTGGACATTTTTGTTGCAGTTTTCATCTTTTCTTGCACATTTGCCTTCTTGAATTTGGAGGCCTTTGCTCCTAGATGGGCAAACAATGTTACTTTTTGGTGGTGGTGTGAGACCATGAGTCTGTTCACTATTTGATTAGGTTACAGTGGTTACAGTGGGACAATGTCTATGTTTTGTCTTCATCTTTTTGTACTTTCCATAGGCTGTTCACAGTGAAATAGATTTCATTTTATTTAGTCTTGTGCTTTAATAACCAGTGGCCTCCCATTCAAGACTGGGAATTGTAATGCATCTTTTTAAAGTTCTAGCCTTTGATGCATAAGTGCCAGTAGGCTTTTAATAAAATATTGTTAATGCTGTTATTCATGTTCTGCTGAGATGTTCCTTCTAATTGACTCAGATTTATTTCAAGGAAGGTGTAAATTTAACGTGGCTCCTCTAAAAAAACAACTTAAATACTAATTACAAAGCAGGCTATTGACTGGGAAGTATTTATATCCTTCTCCTCAGTTAAGCTACTGAACAGGATATTTAACTAAGCAATGAAACATTGAGGATAAGTTTACTGCTGTGTCCTGAAGAGATCATCGGAAGTGAAGAAACGTCTGCAGTAATGGGATTTGCATCTGATTTTTCACCCTTATTTTTTCATGCTTATTTTTGGCATGCCAAGAGTGGGTCTAATAAGCTATATTTTTAGCATGTTTGCCAGAGAATAATTGCAAATTGTGATGTGTCTAATGATAATGTAATTGCTTATGAGTTCTTTCTTTTATTTGTAATTTTTCTTTCTAAATTCACTTCTGATGTTAAATAAAGGTCACTTCTTCCTAAGGCTTCTGCTGCATATCTATCTATCCTGTTAATGTTGGGACTGGTGGACCTGTAGCTATTACATAGAACAATTCTTGAGTAACACCCAGGAAAGTAGCAGTACTGAAGAGATGAGTTTTGTGCAATGGTGAAAGAGTAGGGGTAGGTTTGGTGAATATAATTTGGCCAGCCTTCTTCAACTGCTTTTTATTACTGTATGGAGTCTTTTAGTGGTATTTTGATGTAGAGGAATATGGATTATAAATTCTGCTGTCCTAAGAAATAAGTAGTAAATCCTAAATTGGTGTAGTGTGTTCCAAGCAATTTGTGAGCAAAATGTTATGCACTAAACTGAAGTGAAACAATATTGCTCATGACTTTTTGCTTTAAAAACAAACTTGTGAAAAAACAGACATTTCCTGCACTGAAACTTCCAGATATCAAAAAATAAAAAATTGTCTTTGTAAACCTGCTTCAGAGAAATGTTGAGAAACTCATGAAACAGTAAAGCCACCTGGTATTTGAGTTTTGATTTTTGACTCCTATTTTTAGTAAGATGACAGCATATACATAATCTGATGACTGTTTCTGAATCTTGGCATTTTATTGGAATAGACTTTTAAGTCAAAATGACATATCAAGAACAGACATTCAAATTGTCAGTAGACTTCTTCATGTATCTTGTAACTTCAAAAGCATAAAGTCTAATTTTTTGGAATCTTCAGTTTTTAAGCCCATTTAATTATCGTGAAAGTCAATAGTAACTAACTATAATTAGTATAGTACAGTTTGTGGTGTACAGTATAATTTGCTGCTGTGTTTTCCCTTTCAAGATGTGTCACTGTTGAGTCCTTACATTGAACTGACATATTTTGGTGTGAAATACAGGCACAAAAGGGAGAAAGGCTGTTCACATAGCCTGAAGACTGGATGCATCAAAAGCTGGAGCTGTCTAAACCCCGATGACTCTGAAAATCCATCTTTCGTGCTGCTTTTTGACCACAAGAGGAGGTGTCAGACTCAGGGTAGCATTGTAGTCATACCCTGGAGGATGAGGGAGGAAAAGCAGCCACCAAAGGGACATCTCCTGGGTCTCTGCTTTGTAATCACAGCCGTTGGGCTGCAGGGCGCTGGCAACAAATAGTGCAGCAAGGAGAGGTGGTGGCATCACTGTCTACCTGACTGGCCAGACCATGCTCCACTCATGACTCTGAAGCTCCTGAGGCAGCTCTGGGGAGATCTGTAGTAACCTCTAATCACTAAAAACCTGTACAGTCAGGAGTGGTGATGCCAGAGGAGAGTCAACAGTGACAGCTCGGTGTGGTGGTTTTACCATGCTGGGCAACTAAACCCCACAACTGCTCTCTCACTCCCCCTCTTTTTTAGATGAGGAGGGGGAGAAGTAAAGCAAAGAACAACTCACAGGTTGAGATAAGGAAAATTTAATTAAAGGGAAATAATAATAACAATTAAAGATTATTATGCACTAAACAATTTAACTAAAGGGAAATAAAAAGGGAAAGGGGAAAAGGGAGGGGGAAAGGGAAAATAAAAAGAAGGGAGGAAAACAAACAAGTAAAATAAATGAAGGCTATGTGGAAGTGCAGAGGAAAGAAAATTACTCTCTACTTCCCACAAATGAGTGATGATTGACCACGTCCTTGAAGCAGGGCCTCAACGCACGTAGCTGGTGTTCGGGAGGAGGACCAACGTTTTCACAACGAGAGCCCACCCCTCCCCTCTTCTTCCTGTTTCCACCTTTTATTGCTTACCACATGGTATGGAATATCCCTTTGGTTGGTTTAGGTCAGCTGCCCTAGTGATGTTTCTCTTCTCACTTTTTGCCCACCCCCTAGGAGGGTTAGAGAGATGCCCGATGCTGTGCCACTGCTGCTCAGCAGTAGACACAACACTGGTGTGATAACACTGCTGTTCCAGCTACAAGTGCAGAGTACAGTACTGTATGGGCTGCTGCAGGGAAAGTTAACATTCCAGCCAGACCCAGTACACTTGGTGAGGTTCTTCAAGATTTGTATTGATGTTTCTGCATTGTTCCAAATTCCCCATGTGGGATGTGTTGTAGGAGAATCTTGGTTATACCCAAAGTATTTACTGTATTGGTCTCTCTTTTACTAACTATGGAAAAGAAAAGGACATTTGTTTCTTTATTTATTATCATAATATCAAGGCCCTGGTTCTGGAAGATGCAATCCTCTCTGTCCATAAAGAAAAAAACATCAGGTTTACCTATGAAAACATTATCAGCTAGATGAAATACTTGGTGTTGTAATTGCAGCCATTATGGGGGCTGTTTTTATATGTTTGCTTAGTGTAAGCATATAACTGATTCTGATCGTTTTAAAAATCAATTTTAAAAAACTTGTCTGGAATAACATTTTTTAATATAAATTGACCTATTTATTATAAGTTCATTTTCTGCCATAAAAAAAATAAAATAAAAAAATACAGAGGTTGTTGTTTGTTGCAGTGTACTTTCAAGTGTGGATTACATATGCAATGTTCTTACCCAGTGAAATGGTTCCATTACGGGGTACTGGAAAGTTTTTAAACTTAGGAATGAGATGAAACCCTCTTGAGACATGATCATCAAAATCCCTTTAATATGTTAAGATTCAGCCTGAGTGCTTTCCACTACCTTTTCTCCTCATTTTGAAAGCAATTCTATACTTTATAGCCCTTAGATTATTTTGTGGACCGGGTGGATTTTTGTGGAATAATATTTTTAGAGAAAAATCTTGCTATTTAGCCTTGTCTGATTTAAGTTCACTTGCAAATCCTTAAATAACATTCATACAGTTACATAAGTATGTTTGTGTGCTCCAGAACTGAAAATGAGATTCGTGGGTTTAATTTTGATTTTGTTTCTCTTGCTGAATGACTAGCTATGCCCCCATCTCTAGTACCGTGTGCTGCAACCAGGGACGACTTGCTCGAGGTACTTCCCAGGGTAATTTAGAAGTTGAAGCACGTGAGGGGCCTTTTCTGCTATATGGGGCCGTGCTCATAAAGCAGCGCCCAGTGGGACCCGTTCTGTAGTATTTACACTGTAATGTAAAGTCAGTTCCTCCAGTTTCAACTCCTATTAAGCGCGTGCTTTTATTTCCATAGTATTTATCCTCACCGTTTTATCACCACAGATGATGATTCAGCTCCTTCCCAGAGCAGTTTATTCCATTGACTAATTGCTCTATTAAGAATGTTTTCCTCTTATCTAACTTGACTTTCTTTTCCTGTTAGATTATTGTTCCTTTATGATTGTTTTTATACTCATTTGTACAAGTGGAATTAAATATTCATGTTTCCTCAGCCTTTGGGGTGCATTTTACTGCTGCAGAAATGTGCCTGTCCTGTCCTTAATTTGTGGGGCACTGGAAGGCAAAATTTTTTTCCAAGTGTCGGGGAGCAGGTGGCATCCTGTGATGTGAGTACGTGGGGAGAAGTGGCTTGCGAACCCAAATTTAGCCAATTTTAGGGACTAGCTGATAGTTGTTCACTTTTTAATGGATTCCAGAGCATGGTTTTGCTGTTTTTGGGTGAGATTGTTGGCCTGGCATGGCTCAACCCTCTTCTTTTGCAGGTCACTGGGGCCGATGCGTGGGTGACTGCGGTTCAGGGGGCACTCGCAGCCGGGCTGTCTGGTGCACCCACACCGAGGGCTGGACGTCCCACCACGCGAACTGCGACCAGAAGGAGAAGCCCGAAAGCCACCGGAGGTGCTTTAAGGTCTGCGACTGGCACCTGGAGCTGTTCGAGTGGGAGGTTTCGGGATGGGGCACCTGCGTGCCCGGCGGTGAGGCTGGGGCCTGCGTCACGGCGCAGCACGGCCTGCAGCACCGCAGCGCCCGCTGCCTCCAGAAGCTGAACAGGAGCACCGTCGCCAGCGAGATCTGCGAGCATCTCGCACCCCGGCCACCCCTTGAGCAGGCCTGCCTGGTGCCGTGCCCGCGGGACTGCGTCGTCTCCGACTTCTCCGCCTGGTCCCAGTGCGGTGGGGGCTGTGCCAGGACCATGCGGCACCGGACACGCACCGTTGTTGCTCCCCCGCTGTATGGGGGTGCCCCGTGCCCCAACCTGACTGAGTCCAGGCTCTGCGAAATGGCTGCTTGTCCCCTCGGGGAAGAGGAGCACACCTACAGCCTCAAGGTGGGGCCCTGGGGCGAGTGCAGGCTGCCCCATCGTGACGACGCAATGGCAGCTGGGAAAGCCATGCTGGATTTTGGCACGGACTCTGGAGAGCCAAGCATATCGTGGCTCGAAGGCCATAAAGCTCACCATCATGCACGGGAGGTGCAGGTCGGGTATCAGAGCCGGCCGGTCAGGTGCGTGAGGAGTGACGGCAAAAATGTCGTGCTGAGGTAAGGGCCTCATCTTTGATGTCCTTTCTTCTGTATGTTGCTGCTTTTCACGGCCACACCGTGAGTGTATTTGCCTTTCCGAGTTTTAAATGCAAATTTTTATGTGTTTTCTTTGCAGTCTGCTGTTTGATTTAATTCCCTGCTTGTGAAGCTAGCATCCCCAGAATATTTTGCATGCTTCTGTGATTCGTGACTGTTTAACTCGTTTTATGTTTTTAATATTTCTCTTCTGTTTTTTGTTGTTTTGAGGAAACCTCAAGGAAATGGAGTTTTATACATATCACTTCCCACTATAGCTGTGGGAGAGGGAGGTGCTGAACATAGAACATAGAAAGGTCTCATTCTCAGTCACCTACTGTATATATTTGGCCGAAGAGGCTAAAATAACATCAGCTTAAACTGCTTAGTTCTTACAAATCAACACTGAATAAATTGAGAAGTGTAAACCTGAAAAGGACTTGCAAATTTACTAGAAGGTATTTCTTGGACAGATAGATCACTGAGCAAAGCCGTGATTGTCTCCTGCTTTTGAGGAGCCTTCATGTTTGTGAGACTGATACAAGATTCGTGACTAGCATTTCTTCCTTTGACGGTGGTTGTTGATTTCTATCCTCATGTGTTTTAGCTAACAATTTTCCTTAGTCTGTGCAGGTTGCTTTACTGTAATTCAAATGTGAAGGTTACAATAATGTACAGCAAATAATGGAAAGATTTATTCTCTCCATTTCTTGCATTTAAATTTAAGTTATCTGAGCTCTGCCATTTGACTTCAGATTGAATTTGGGCAGATGCCAGGAGCTATAGATTGCTGTGGAATTGATTGAGTTCTGAGAAAGTCAGAAGTAAGATTTTTGAAGAACTTCTTAGAAGTTCTTGGAAAATCCTGCTCCTGAATTTTGCAGAAATCGATCTTTCTCAGTAATCTATAGCTCCTGGTGCCTGCACAAATTCAAATTGGAGAGATAAGGGGTTATTTTGTGTCCAATTCACTGTCCCTGTTTATGTCAGAAATGTTTCTGCACACATACTGAGGTGCAAATATACATTCTAGCCTTTTTGCTACCTCCTCCTATTACCTCTGTAGCAAAGTACATATTTTTTATTGCTTGGAAAAAAGTCAAGATTTGTGAACTGTTGCAGCAGTTTTCTACCATCTTGACTTTATTACTAGTCTCTAATATATGCTGATTCTAAATATACAGATTTTATGCTCATGTAGCTGCTTGAGTTTACTGGAGTTACTTGTGATTTATGGTACTGTGAAATCCGCAGCAGGTTTATGTACGTTAACATGTGTTAGCTGCTTTTCTGCCTTGTATCTTGTTCCTTATCAGTAGCTCTGGATAGGGAATACCAACTTGTTAAACTTTCACTGTCTCAGCCCTCACACGCTCAGTGGTACATTTGCTGTAGGAATGGGGAACGGAAGACACTGTTTTCATACTTTGCTCTTTGTTTCACTGCTGTGTGAGTAACACATTGAACTTCTGGATGACAGCGCAGAAGGTCCCAGAAGGTTAAATTTCAGTGTCTCTACCTGTGATCAAGATGTCTTCTTCCCTTGTCCTTTCCCTTTTCCTTCCTTTCTTTTTAGCTGATCCAGTCCCCTATTTGGGAACATACAGCTCCATTAGCAGACTTTTTACAGTCCTGTCAAACCTTTTTTGTTGGGGCTGTGTCTCAGCTGAGGCTAACCCATCCTTTTCTCTTAGTGAGCCAATATACGAGAGGAGAATCCATAGATTCCATAGGGGATAAAAGGTCTTTTTAAAAACCAAACCACACAAACACAAGCAAACAAAACTCCTTGTTATTACTTGTAGCCATGTAGCTTGAACTTGGAAACCTAAAACCCAAACCTAAAATCCATCATAAAATGCAACTTGTGTTTAATTTCTAGTGTCACTGATAAAAACCCCCAACAACAACTCCCTAAAAACATCCCATGTTAATGCCTTCCTCGTTCCATTGTGCAGCATATTTGCTGCCATTTACCTGAAGAATGGATCAGATCTTGCAGATGTCACTTTATAAGAGTGATGATATTTTGGCTACCGATAAAGAAGTGTAAATGCATTTGCATAACCCTGAAGCAGGGCTTGGCAGACAGCCAAATGTCTGCTGTAAAACTGGGAAGAAGTGCTTTATTTGTGCTTTTTCATTTTCCTGGATGAGATTTCCTACTTAGAATAACGCTGTTGAGTAAGTACCGATGAGAGATACAAATTAAATTTTCTAGGAAACTAAGGGAAGAGAGAGAAATAGCCCTAGACGTGGCCTAGGGATCCTAGAGATGTTTCACTGAGGTCTCAGAGCTGCACGATAATTGGGGTGTGTTGGGATTTTATTGCCACCACTCTCCCTTCTGCCACTAACCCAAAGAAAAGCAGCAGGTGATATGAGCGGTCAGTTTAACACCATTACCTGTCAAAAGCCACGTGAAGATAGCAAACACATATTCTGCTCATTTCCAAATTTATAATGCAGCAGCAAAGACGGCCCTGTGGTGTCCACAAGTGGTGTCTGTTGCCTAATTTATTATCAAAGTTGTTAAATTTACCTGTTTTTAATCTCAGGATTGTTTGTCAGCCAATTATGCCAGCAAGCAGTAATCATTGTGCATGCTAATGGGGGGTTACACTGGTACAGTGCTTGGTGTGAAAGAACAGGCTTTTGCAAAAAAAATAAAAAAAAAAAAAAGTATTTTGGTGGGATGGGTGCAAGCTGTTTTTTAAGGACTAAATGACTTTACGTATCCACTTGTTAGAGATGTAAATTTACCGGTAGGAAATTAATTTTCACCTCTCCATTAGCAAGTTTGTGATTCATGAGAATAGCAAAAGTTGTCCTTTCTCTTGTAAAATAAAGAGCAATAGCAGGAAACAAGTCTGACATTTGTTTTCCGTTTTCTACCAATTCTCCAATTGTGCTGTAGAAGCCAAAAAAAAACAACAGCCTTTGGTTTCACAGAAACCCTTGGGTGAGAGCTGAAGAATCCTTTGCTTTATAAGGAAAACATTGTTTTCATTTAAATCATTGGTCCTGTGAAGTTTTGAGTGCCTGTTTCAGCCTTGAAGGTGCACAAGAAGACGCTAGGAATTTCTAAAGTAAATATTGTAAAGTGGAGCTGCTTTGAAAGGAGCACAAGTGCTTGGAACATAGGACAGACTGTAACAGGTGCGTAGAAGCAGGGAATGTCTTTGAAATGTTGTTTAGATTGGAGGATCTGCATTTGTTGAAATGAATTAAAAAGGGAGAAAGGGAGAGAAAAGGCAGAGATGGAGCTTTTCTTTTTGAAAAACACTAGAAATTGAGACAGTCGACCAACAGAATGTCCGTAGAACTTGAGAAAGGTTTAGAAGTAATTTTGGTGTGAAAACTTTATATTCATAAAACATAAAAGGAGTAGGATCAAAATGAAATACTCTTAGAGATATTAGAGAATCTTTTAAAGACTTCATTCATTTTAAAAAGCCTATTTTTTAAATTACTGTTTCAGATAAACAAAAAAGTTTTAACTTTCTTTAAATCTTCCATCCAGTAACAAAACCAACCATAAACACTTCCATACATTTACGAAAATCTCTGAAAAAGTTGTAACAAATTTACAGTTAGAAATTCTGCTGGTTTTGGTTTTCTCTTTTGTCGCAGTTGTAAAAACCTACCGAGTAGTGAGATGAAGAACCTAAGAACCTTTTTTTTTCCTCCTATTTAATTTAGACACTAAATTTTAATGTAGTGAAATCAGTGCCTATAGCTAAATAGTGAAATCCTAATTTTGTCTTGATTTTTCTAACTTGACGAGTGCATTCATTTAGCATACTCAGTATTCCCAGTGAGCATACTGAGAAGTTAACATCAGGAGCAAACAGCTTTAGTGCCTTTTTTTGGTTATTATTTGGATGAGGAGTCTTTTTCAGGTACGTATTTCTTAAACTCTTCATTCCGTGTGCAAGGTGATGATGATATAATAGAGTTGGATTTGGAATTCAGTTTACTTTGCCTTTGTAAGTGAAAATTCAGGTCAAATTCAGTCAATGGACCAGTAGATGGAGGATGTGGTAGAGCGGCACTCAGTTCTTTTGTTTACCTCTGTAATTTGAATTTACATTATCCATTTCCTAGTGGATTGCACTTAACCACTGTGCTGTCGTACATTTCTTGGAAAAATTATTTGCAATTTCTGCTGTTGACACTATTCTGTTCTCTAGATGAGAACAAAATTTCACAGTGCAGAGGTGGAAATGCTGTGCTGTAATACACTTACATGTAATGGCTGTGATTCTGTTCTGGGAGAGGAGGGGTGTGTGTGTGTGTGTGTGTGCATTCAGGTTTTTTCCCAGCAGATGTAGGAATCAAGCCTCAGTGCTCAGGTTGAAAAACAAATCCCTGAGCTATTGGATAAGGAGGTCCTTGAAAAAAAAAGTGTAATTTCCTTTGCTTTTATTAAAAGCATACTAAACAAACGAACAGTGGCCACATTTTTTCTTTTCAATTAGAGTAACATTTTGGAAATACTGTCCAATAATAACTGGGCTTTTTCTTTGTTTTTAAAATTGTGCTGAAAGCCAACTGCTTCTGTAGCCCTAAGATCCAAATGCCTGCCTAGTTGGCACAAATATGTCAGCATTTATTTTTAATCGCAGCAGAGGATCTTGTGCATTAAGCTCTGGAGACACCGGAACTCAGACGTCTTAGGCACTACATACAGCCTGTGTTCTTTTGGATCATGAGTCTCCCTTTGGTCAGGAAAAAAGCGTTTGGATGCTGTTAGGAATACAGCAAGGCTCTGTCCACTACAGTCATGATTAGACCCTAATGAGTCCTGTGCCAGGAACTCTATTCCCCCTCAGTACACAGAAGAGTAAGAAGGCTCTCTGCCATTCGAGTGATTTTAAGCTTCATGCATCTGTTGTCTGTTAACTAACTGATCCATCTTAAACCGCAGGCATCATAACGTATACTGCAAAACAATTCCTGGAGTTTTACAGTATCAGTCCAGCCCTGCAACACAGAAAGCATCAGTTGTGGAAGTACGTTATAATATTGCTGTCACCAGATCGACTCTTAAAAGGAAGATCTAACCTGAATACATTAACGTGGAAAGTTAGTATAAAAAAATGGGCTTATGATGTACCTGCCATCCCCAGGACTTCCTTCCTTCCCTGCTGGTTTGCTAACTGAGGTTTGTTTGTAGGCTCAGATCAACAAATGTCGTGCACACCTGGGTTTTATCTGTATCAGATTGTTCTGAATACATCAGTTACATGAAAGAATGTGTCTGAATTTCATGCAAAAGGATGGGCTGTGTTTTTACATGTGTTTTTGTGTTGCTTGGTGTCACAGTTAATTTGACTTTGAGTCTCTGAACGAGTGAGTACAAGTTAATTAGATTCACTTTCTGTTTGGCTGTTGCATGCAATTCTCCTTCAAAAACATCTACCCAAGCAGAAGGATGAAAATTGCCAGCTCCACATCTTGTTCACCTGAAGGTCAACAAAGTTCTCTTCAGCCTTTTATAGGAGGAAAGGTGGAGGGATTTTCAGAGAAAGAATGAGCTGTTCAGGCTTCATATACTTGCAAGTCTTGCACATAGCAAAGATTCATGCTGGGCAGAGATGTCTTTTGTAGCCCAAGTGTTGGCATGTGTTTGAATCCTTTGGAGCAGGTTTGGCATGTGTTTGAATCCATTGGAGCAGGTGTTGTAGATACTGTCTTGCTAATGGTTAGGACTAGCAATACTCATTTTGAAGAAGACCCCAAAGCAGATTTTTAAAGGCTTAATTTTCCTTGGTATTTCAGCATAGATCAGGTCAGATTTAAATTTCTCATTTGCAGTGGTGCAACCACCAAAACGGATTTGGGTTTTCTTGTTGGTATCTGAACACCAGATTCTGATTATTCTGTTGAATGTGAGATTGGTTGCCTCCATGCTATGTTCTTAGGTTAACTCTAGTTTTCTAGTATAGACACTTAGGACAATGATTTCCAATTGCTAGCATTTTATCTACTCAAAATCAGGAATCCTTTCTTGTTAGCACTGTGGTATTGGTGGCTCACCTGATAACTCTGTTACAAAAGTAATAAAAAGGAAATAAGGTTGCACTTTGAGTGACTCTACCAGCCTAATGCTCCAACCAAGACTCAAAATCACTGGCCTAGCTCAAGTTCAGATATAATGATTATAATTTTCCAGTCCTTGGTTCAATAGAGTTGATGTTTTGTACCAGATGCAGCTATGCAATCAGTTGCATTCAACATGTGACAGAGGCATGAGAATTTTTTTTTTTTGGATATAAACAAGAATAATTTGGGGGCATATCACAGGTTTCTGCTTCAAGGAGTTGTTAAAATAAACCTTAGCAAATTCATCCTCCCTGCACCTGTGAGACTATTATTCTAGGTGATGAAGCTGAGACAAAAAGTGTTGAGTTACACTTCAAACTTAAAAAAAGAAGTGTAAATTTAAGATACTAAATGCTGTATTATGCTAGTGATTCAGGGTGTAGTTAAACCTGGTCACGTATTGGTGGCAATATTCCTATTGACCTCTGTGGGAAATGGACCGATTCCCAAATTGGAGGAGAAGCAAGTGAATGCCCGTTATCTTCTCTGCTCCCCTGTGAGATTGCCGTGCAATCCTGAAATGATTGCCCGGTGTATTTTCTGTAGAGAAAGTTAGCTTAGTCAGACTGTGTTATAAGTAATATTAAGTGAGGTAATAACTGGTTCCTTGGCACCAGCTCTAGATTTCACACCTTTTAAGTGCACATGGATTTGCTCCTTACAGCTGGTAAAAGCCTGACTGTGAGCAACTGGAGGCTGGAGAAGGCGAATTTAAAGAGTTCACACTGAGTTCATGGATGGTCTTAATTTCAGAGAGCCATTTGCATCATCACTGTAACACCAGGCAGAAATCAGAAATTCTTAGCTCTTTTTTTCCTGGTGACACCTTTTTTTTCTGGGTTCCATCTTCTTGTTTTTTCCCCTTTGATTCCTCTCTCCTTTTCCCCATCTGTTCCTTTGTGGTGTTCCAGTGACTTCTCTGCTTGTATGTAACTCTGTCCTTTTTTGTTACATCCTTCCCAGCTCTGTTACATCAGTTATCTGTGGTTTCTGGGAGACAACCACCATGGTATCTCACCCTTTTTGGGAGATTCCCGGTGGCCTTGTGGATGATCTCCAACTGCAGAGAGGTGAAGCAGGAGAAGCTGTGCTCTGCTTGGTTCCTTCCAGACTGAGCAGGGCAGGAGAGCGCTGTCTCACATGTCTACAGTTGTCAGCTCTTAAAATTCATTTTTCCATTGCATTGAGCCACATGCTGTGTTTTCTGTGTTACAAAATGAATGAGGATTGTGTCCTAATGAAGGCTGGGGTAATGCGAATGAGCCCAAAAAGTACACGTATGGTTGTGGCATGCCATGGTCTCCTGTGGTTTGTCAGGATGGAAACCCCTCTGGCCTTAGTTAACAGCACTTGCTTGATAACAACCTTGCAGAACAAAAACATTTCTTATTAATATGTGCCTAATTATTTTTTAAAAGAGCAGAGTTGCTCAGCAGGATGTGCTGCTACCTAGGGGGACAGATGCTGGACAGCTAGTTCCGTGCGTGGAAGGAGGAGAGCGAACACCAGTGGCAACACTTCTCCAGGCCTTGGCTTTTATTTTCAGCCCTGGATAAACTGAGAAATTATAACTGCACAGGTGCAAATGTAGTGCCTTTTACATCTGTTGTAACTTAAAATATATTAAGTGTAGTATTTGCAAACCACTCAGCATGCAAGATAGCAGCTGGAACTCACTGGAAATGGAGGATGTGCATTGCAGCAACTCTTGCCCTCATTGCTTTGGTGTTGAGGCAGGTCTTCTGATGCAAGCCACCCCAAATGACCACAGATCTCTTCTTGTCTGAGTTAGGGTACAATATCTGGGCTTTGTGCTGGAGAAAGAAAAAATTAGTAAGATCTCAGCTGTTTTTACTTTATTCTTATCACAGCCTGTGCGTGCAAGATGCTGTCTCTTTGACCTTCAAATCCTGTGTCATCGCCAAAGACTGTGAAACGTCCGAGTGGTCGGCATGGAGTGCCTGCTCACAGACCTGCAGCTGGGGAGAGCTCGCCCCGGGCTTTCGGAGCCGCCGCCGTGGTGTGCAGAGCCTGGCAGTGGGCACTGGGAAGCTCTGCCCGGAGCTGGAAGAGAGGGAAGCGTGCAGCGCAGGAGGGAGAGAGCTGCTGCAGCCCTGCCCCAGGTACCTGCGTGCTTTTGTCAAAGTTTTCTGGAGAACCCCCTGTTCGGAGGTGCTTTTGTGCAAGGCAAAGCTTCCTTGCTCTAAGTCTATGTGTATGTGTGGAGAGGGTCACACATCATGGCTCGTATCTGTGTCTGAAAGATCATTGATTTGATCACTGTTAACTATGATTAGTGGTATTAGTTATCGCTAATAGCGTTCTCGTAATTGTTGCTGTTATCATCATTGCTATTACAATAATTACAGTTGCATATAGAAATAAATGTAAATTACGCTCACTACAGCTTATGTTTTCCTATTTTAAAAACTGAGAGCCAGATATTCCTGTTCTCTGAAAGAGCTTTCATGCTGATTGCTGGTTCAGAGAATTTCCTCAACTGCGCAGACTGGGCAGGTCTCCACGACTGTGCTTTTATTGGCTTTTCAATCATGACTTTTACACAAGGTTTAATGATTCCCCTTAATCTCCCCATAAAAAATTATGGTCCTCCTTGAGGAAAATGGGAACTGATCAGAGGTAACAGCTTGGTCTTTACACAGCTTCCCTCCGGATACTTCTTAAGCAGGGATATTTAGCAATCCCTGAGTACTAGCTTGGTTTATGGCAATCTTTGTTTTGGCAGAAGGTGGGGAACTCACCTTTCTGATCTGTAAATCTGTGCAATAATGCCTGGCCAGGCTACCGTTGTGGAGTCTTGTTTGCTTTGTAAAGAAAATAAAATATTGCTTAATTTTTTGTGTGTCACATGTTCTGAGATTGACTGTAAAATACTTCAAAATTGTTAAGGTTTTATATACATGTAGACAAATCTCCCCCTGTGAATGAATGTGTTTAATAGGAGGCCTATTCAGTGATCAAGTCGTGAATTTCTGGTGCTTTGCCAGCTACTGCCAAAACCTTTGATAAAGCCTTTGCAAGATAAATTTCTTACGAAGGCGTAACCTGTAAAAGTGTCACTATATTGTTGAGTTCATTCAAAATCAAATGCTGATCATTTTTATGCACCCTGCTAGCACAGGAGAGGAAGTATATATATATATATATAAAATTCTTTTGCTTGATTACATCCCACGAAAAGGCTCTCACAGAGTGATTTTTGCTCCTGCCCAGATGCACATCAATTTCGAAGACAATAGATTAACAGACAGACACATTGTCTCACTGATTTTGTATAGGAGCGTAGGTGCAAGTGACACCTGATTGGGGCATGCCAGCTGATAGTTAATCAGGGAGCGAGGAGGCACGTGTCTGTCCCTAGTTTCTCAGTTTGTCTGCTCTTTGATATTGCACTGTATGAAAGTGCAAATGATTGTAAAGGCTTGATGTAGAGCCAGGAGAGCCCAAAAGGTAAGAATCTGCATAACACTGATAACTTTCTCATGGTGCCACTCTTGCTATACAAGGAAACCCGTTCTTTCAGTATACTGTTGCTATGCCATGGTTTACCTTCCCCATCCTGCCATTGCTACATGAATTCCATCCTTCAGACATCTTCAGTGAAGTACCTGAGTGAAGTAGGATAAAATGTCTAATGACCTATCTTAGAACAATAACTTTAGTCTTTAGACTCAGTTTAATAGAGCCACTTAACCAAAAAATACAGCAAGAAAATCTCTGGTATTTAGTTAGTTGCTATTTCTCGTGATGTAGTATCTCAAAATGCAGTTGGTAGACTGACCTTCTTTCACGACACACACTACTTTCACTTTCTTTTGTGTGCTGAGGGGAATTTGAGATAGCTGTCTGGTTAGTTGACTTTGGTTGTTCAATACTGCAGAAATGAGCAGGAATGAAAAGCTTTAACGTTGCGGTACATGCTGCAGGTATACCAGGTGTAAGGCTCTGGGAAGTGTGTAATAATGAACAGAAGACAAACATTTTAAAGCATGCTATTTAAGTGTCAGCAGCTGGTAAAGGATGTTGTCTGTCCACTTTACAGTTTATAGCCTCATGATTTTGTTTTGGTGTTTGGGAATTGGTGACCAAGATGGTGCAAGTACTTCAGAATGGAAAGCAGTAGCTGCCTGCCATAGAAGGATGTAATGTTAACCCTTATAAAATAATATAAAAAGCCTTTGATGCTCCAGATCTCCTTATTTGAACATAATTCTCTTTGCAGTGTAATATCTAGCGAGATGGTACTTTTTTTTGCCGTTAAATATATGCTGCATCACTTACTGCTTTGCTGAGGGTTATCAGACCGTTTTCTTTTTGTTTTACTCCACGTAAGATGATGAATTTAAGGAGATTCAGTATTAGGAATGAAAAGTGCTCTCCTTCATTTGTCAAGCCTCAATACAAACCTGTCTGTTTGTCTTGCTGGCTTGCATTTGCCTAATCAGGTTAGTCTTAAAATCTTTAAGGCGAGAGTCTTATTTACCTTCCCAGTCCCTGGGCAGTTGTTTTTCTGCTGTTGATTATTTGAAGACCAGTAGCCACTTCTTTAAGTTTTTCTCTGGGTAAGGATTTTCAAAATCATGCTCCAGGCAAGCCAAAGAAAATCGGTGAGGAGGTTGGCCAGAAAGAGCAAATCTCTGAGCAAAGAGAAAAGTGTTTCTCTAGAGGCCAGTTTCAGTGCAGGGACAAGGATCACCTCATGCCTGAACAAATGTGCATTTCATAGACTACATCCCCCACCTCATTCATCCACCTGCATGGAAAAGCAAGAAGCACTAAGGTTTTTTTTTTCCTTTTTTTTTTTTTTTTTCTCCTTTTTTTATCACAGGAAGGTGGGTAAATTTATATTGCCATCCATGGCAAGGCAGCAAGTTAAGGTCCCATCACACGTACGGAACGATTGATGTAAATTTGCTTTTAATGGGAAGGCCTTTTAATTTTATGGCTGAAGTTTACAATAAATTCTTTAATCAATAGTTTAAATGCAAGAAAATAAAACATTTTAAGTGCATATAGGACTCCAGAGCTTTGTGTTTTGTTTTACTTTTGGTTATTTGTTTTGAAGGGATTAGATTAAGGGTTTAAAAAGCTTAAACACACAGAAGGTGATTCTACCTTCTTTATTGTGATATAAATTTGGGGTAGTTCAATTAAAGTGAATGGGCATATACTGATATAAAACTTGGGTAAGCACTAAAAGCATAAGTCCTATAGACTGAAGGGACCAAGAGGTTACTATAAATTGGGAAGATATTGAGCTCTTGTTTGTTGCATAGCTGTCACTGAGTCATCAGTTTTAAAACAATGTTTTATATCATTTTTATCCCAGATGTGTAGCTTTCATGTTCATAGGGAATAGATAGATTTTCCAGAATTATGATTATGTCTTTAAATCTTTCATTTTGGTTGTGGTTGCTATGTTACGAGACAGGGATTTAGAAAAAAAAGAAAAAACCCACCTCTTTGCTTTGTTGGAAATTCAAAGCTTTTCAGAAGGTAAATGATGGAAAATGGGAAAGTTTTAAGACCCAATTTTTACAAAAGGCTTGAGGTTACTGCTGAGATATGGGAGTGATGGCATTACTTTGTAGATGAGGCCCATCATGTTCCCTAATTAAAGGTAAAGCGTTGGTGTGAAGTTGGAAAGACCTGAAAGGAAGTGTGCTGAACCACGCCGGTAGGCTGCTGGTATTGCATTGTGAGAGTGGTGGCAACACTGCTGTTTGGCCCTTCAAATTTCACTGGTTTTGGGCACACAGAGGTGACCTCAGCTTGGCTGGGCAGCTGAATTGCCTCCCCTCAGGTCAGGAACCAAGCCTGGTGAAGCCTTGGTTGGTCAGCCCCAGGCTGGACGTTTCTCCTGTGGCTGCTGTTGGGCATTGCAACGAGGGCACGCTTTGCTCCGACAGTGGCAGACACCCACGGGACCTGTTCTTTGGCTTCCTCAACTGACTCTGGTTAGCAGTGAAATTCAGAGCACTGAAATGAAAAGCTGCTCAGCTTTATCAGCCAAGTTTCATCCTAGATACCCCAAGCACCTAGTTTATTTTTTTCTAGAGGTTAATTCTTGCCAGTTTTCTTAAGCAAACTGATATAGCTGCATGTAGATTCTGGAGGTTCCCATGTTGGTCATTATCTAACTAGCACTCTAACCATTGGCAACAGGCTCTGCCAATCTTTAGAAGCAGCTAAACCTTCTGTCTCTCAAACAGTATTGTCAAAATTTGATACAAGCCTATAGGGAAGGCAACCCCCCTTTTATTTTTAGTTTTAGTTTTGTTTTTAGTTGTACTAACAGATCTATAGATGTCACTGCTAGCACTGTAGTTTGCATCAAAAGGTCTACCTAGAAATTGGTAGGAGGTAAAATGAGATGTTAAATCTATTGACATTCGTAATCATCAACACCCACAGGTTTTGGCACAGGGGTGACAAGAGTACTCTGAAGCTGACCAACCTGATGATTCAAATGGACAATGGCTCTTTCACTTCCTGCGTCGTTGTGCTCTCAGTCCTCTAGGGACAGTGAGTGAGGTGGCTGACTAGCATTGACCCAACAGTAACTTAGTGCTGATATAGCACATCTGCTCTAACAACGTAATGCCCAGCATTGCATTGGTGGCTTGGGTCATGGAGTTTGGAGAAATAATGCATGTGTGGTAAAGCATCTGTGGATATCGCTAATAATCTGCAAATACTAGCTGAAAGTTGTTAACTTACAAGAAAAAAAGGCCCAGGTATTTGCCAGCCAGTAATCTCTGTTCTTTGCTAATTGCGATTAAGTAATGTTATTGCTCAGTGTCTTTAGAATAGCCCATAGATCGGCAAGTTGATACCAGGTGTCAGCCGCACTGCATAAAACCCAGCAGAGCCTCCTGCGAGGCTGCCCAGGATGACTGCTCCCTTCTGCAAGGACTCGGTGGGCTAACAGCATGTCAGATGTGCTTCTGGTGTCATTGACTTGTTAATGGCTGTGAGAACGTGTACCTTTCAAACACCTAACATTGGGGTCAGATTTTGTTGCTGGAGAACTCCAGCCAGCTCAGGGCATGGCCAGCTGGGGGAAAGCAAGATGGGCTGGTAAGGATTTAGGCTTTAAAGCTGCTCACAGAGGAGGAGGCGCTGGCAGTCGCACCTGATGGCTGTTCATTAAACACTGCTCTGTGGTGGAGCACAGTATCCAGTTACTCCATGTGGATGTCTAAAGGGATTTTTTTAGATTCAGGAGCTGATGAGGTTTAATTATCTCTGAGCTCAGATTTAGTTATTTTGCATAATTTAAATCATTGATGGCCTAATTTTCCTAGGTGTTAACTCCCACAGCTCATGCTGAATTGGAGAAGCAGGTGCTCACACCTTTAGAGAAGAGTCTTTAGGACCCAGAATTCACAGCTGACTCCCGAGGCCAGCTATTGATAATGAGTTTTTCTTTAGTCAGTTATTGTTTTAAGAAATACCATCCTAAAACAAGTATTTCTGTGGCTGAGGAAAGATGAGTGTGTTCTATATTTAGGCTTTTATCTTTGAAAATATGGGCCTGAGTAGCATGATGTCCTGAAGTGCTGTGGAGGAGGAATTTTGTTTACCCAGTGCTTGATGAAGAGCAGTTTTCCTTGTCTTTATTATAACAGGAAGGTTGTATTTAACACTGTGTCCCCAAAAAAAGTGATTAGGAATTCCACAGGAGGAACTACTATAAGAAAAAATTCATGGCTGTGCTTTATATGTTATGCGATTTCAATTATTTCGTTCTTGTCATATGAAAAGTGTGTTCTTTATTGTTTTCTCAGCTAGTAGTAAATCCTGTGTGTATCCAAATTTGCACATTATTGTGTATTATTTAAGAGGGCATGACAGCTCATCCGAAAAGTACCTGTAAATTAAAAGTAATTGGCAGTATTCACAAACATTTTCCATTAGTATTTTACAAAATTTGTAAGTGCTCTGTGGCTAGAAATCATTCTTATGCCTATATTTGCAGTGCAAGATGTTATGAGAACATTGATGTGTGCTCATGCAAACTAATGCAGTTATTTTTCATACAATTTTGAGATGCATGTGTCCCTGCCACAGCTATAGTCAGGGCACAGATATTTGTGATGGAGAATACCCAGAACACAAGGTGAAAGGCTCCTTCTGCAGGGACACCCCGTTGTGCTCGAACTTAAGAGTGATCAGTCAGCCTGCAAACATACATAATTTTAACAACTGTATGTCTGTCCTAGGGGGAGAGAGTATTTGTCTTGAGGGTAAGAGAAGGAAATTATTTTATGTATTTTAAAACAGGTAAGTTTGTACAGAAAAAGTAAACTATGGAATATAGAGGAGAAAAGGAATGAAGCAGCAGAAGCATAGAGATTGGTTACAAAACCAATATTTGCTACGATTTGCATTCAGGAAGCTAAAGAAAGACTTTGGGCTCTTACTCTGTGACCTGTTAATTAAAATGAATTATGTTTGTAAAAACTGCCTTATTAGAAAAATGCTCCATGTTTTCAGACATGATGGGAAATAATTTTTTAGATTTCTGTTGCTACACAATGCTACTTTCCCTATGGTTTTAATATGTTCTTCTTGGAAATTAAGAATATTTTCCTTTCTTTTAAACTTTATGCTCTTTATGTATGAATTATATATAGAATGAAAATAGGACTTGCTGCATGTCGCAACTTCTGGAAAGAAAAACAAGAAAACTGAGTTACCTTAGGCAATCCCTTGAAGAAACTGATAGTACCCTAGACCTTTGCAAAGCTGTCACCTATAGAATAGATGCCTGGTACTTGAAACTCCATTGACAGACATGTAAGGTTTTAGCTGTAAGTGCATTTCAGAATGACATGTTCAGCTCTTGACAGAGAGAGGCAGTTTAGTGGTTTCAGCCACATGTTTGAAAACTTGTTTTCACAATTAATCGAACCTCTTAATCTTTGTTCCTTTTTTGCATTCTGTTCAAAGGTGTTTCAGGATGATTTAGTGTTTGAGAACACTTCAGAGATTAGTGCTATGTGAAAAGTTTACGTGACTACTATAGGCTAATAAGAAATATTTAACCTTTGTAAATTTAACATTCAAAATGTTTCAAAACATCCTCATGCTCCTATAAATATTAAACCAATTGTATTTTGTCATGTAATAAACTACCACCCACTCTTGTTTCACTTGGTCTCTCTTATTTCCAAAGGTTTTCCTGGAGAACTTCTGAATGGAAAACTTGCCAGGTGTCTCTCCTCCTTGACCAGCAGGACCCTCGCCACCATAAGCATACAGGCCTCTGTGGAGGTGGCATACAAACCCGCGAGGTCTACTGCGTCCAAATCACTGTAGAAGTTGAGATGCACCGACTGAAGGAAGGTATGTGCATAAAGCCATTCTGAAATGTCTGGCACACGTCAACCTCAGGAAGAGAAGCACATAAATAAATCCTTCCCATGTAATCCACAGAAGACTCGAGTAGCTGATGTCCCCCTTGTATTGATACTTATCAAGGGAGGTGTTACTTGGGCTTGGTCCTCAGGATCCTGGGGAACTGTCTGGGGCCAAAACCTTCCAGCGGTGAACTGCTGCCAGTTCTGTACGAGTACTTTTACAGGGGAAGTCTGAAGAATGGAGGAGCTAAATTCTTCTTCTTTGGACTTCAGGATTTTTCCATTTTTGTCAGGTAGTCTGGCCTCCTGGTATGAATGCATTTATTCAGTCTGACCTGAATACATTTATCTGTGGTTTCAGTCCTGGGTCAGAGTACAAAAAAAAGAGATGTCACACTCCATTCTGGATATGGCTTTAGCCTCTGCTTCAAACTGATACACGATCTTTCTTGTGTTTTGAAGGGGAAATCAAAAATAATATTGTCACAACTTCTGAGCAGACAGACAGTTTTTGGATTCTGGAAGTGAGTTATTTTCCTTTTAGAAGAATAATGAGTAGATACAGATGCATGATGAATAATTCATCTTAGGCTGTTTTATTTACTGTATATAGTGCTCTTGCAGAATATGCTTTTGAGCAGAGATGGTAAGATAATAAGAACACAACATCATATCTTAGATTTATTTACTTATAAAGTCAGAGCAAATGTTTCCTGTGTGCCCAGTTGTGTCCTAGCATCCTGCACAGTCTGAGGTTGTAGAAAGCCAGACCTCTTTTAATGTCTATTCAGTCCATGCATAGTTGCTGGTTCACCTCTTCCAAACATCTGGTACCACCTTGTTCTGCCAGCACAGAACCCCCTCAGTTGTTCTGCACAAGTATGTGATGTATACGATTTTCAAAGTAAGAAAAGTGCTGTTGATGACAGTTATGTAACATTCTTGACTGTCTTCATCCTTCTCACTGCTTCTGTAGTCTGCATGGCCACTGTATGGCAAGTTGACAAGCAGTAAGCTTTAACTGACCTCATTTGTGCTTCTTTATTCTTTGTTAGTATTGTGAATTATTCTAGAAAACTGGGGGAGGTCATCTGAGACCCTCACACCAAAATAATTCATGACAGAATTTGTACTGTATATCCAGTATAGGATCACATGCATTTTTTTCCTTTGTTAAAGGTTCAATCTAACTTAAAATTTGCAAGCCCTCCCCTCAATAGCAGGGAAACACTGGGATACTTCTTCCTTGTTTGTATAATTCTAACCCTTTATTTTTAAGAAACAAACATATATTTTTTTTTCGTGCAAGCAACTAACAAAACAAATATGCACAGCATTTGTGCAAGATATAAAATTTTCCTGCTTTACCAAGGCAGTTGTGATTTGCAGTAGTCTTTAGAAAGTGAGAATGCATTTACTGCCAGCACAGTTGCATACAAAAGAAAAGAGGGAAAACTTTCCTTATTATCCCTCCCCATCTAGTAATATTCAATGTCTCATTTACTAGCTGATCAACTTTTGTTCTTCGGCTAAATAAGGAGTGACATCTTGCACCTTTTCTGGCAATCTGAACTGACAGAAAATTTTTATTCATCACTAGTGCATCTCATATTTTATTGTACCATTTTTCAGTGATGGGGAGAAGATGAGGAAGTTGATTCTCCTATGTATAAGCAAATACGGAATCTAATTGCTACCATAAAAAGTACAGTTACTTTTCTTTCTTCACCTCTTGAATGCCCTTAAAAGGATCATTCAGAAATCAAACAAGCGAGTCTAATAGAATATTACCATCCGTCACAGTTGTTTTTCTTCTGGTTACTTCCAATGAGAATTTGGACCTAGGCACAATGACATATGTGAAAAAAAAAGATTTTGTCCTGTGGTCTCTCCAGCAGCATTCTTGGATAAAATATGTTGAATCATAGTTGGAGACAGGTACCATCTGTGATGTACTTACACATATTGCTCAAAGCTCTCTTATCCCCCAAGGATCTCTCTCTTATTTTTCATTTCTTTAGTCTTCCCATCTATTTCTTCTTTTATTAAAATGTGTATATTTAGAAATGATCCCCTGTTTTCTGGAGCTCCTATGTATCAGTTACTCAGAGGACTAAGTCTACTGATATCTTTCTATATTTTGATTATAAAATTCCAACGTGAAGATACTGGAAATGGAAAACTTTCACTCAGGTATTACTTTCAGAAATGCATTGATAAGATCTCATATCTTGCTACTGAAAGACAAGTCCTAACGAAGAAATCCCTACCTTGACCCAAGTGAATGTCTAATATATTTGTTAGACCTTATGGAGGAATTCTATACTTCTAATGTTGGGCGATGAATGAGGAGGAAACAGCAGCTTTTCGTCTTTATCAGAGTTCATGGTGGTCTGAATGACCAGGCAGATGAAAAAAATATATATTTCTCTTTACCATTGACAGGAAAATAACATTTTTGGTAGCATTCTTTTTGCATATCAATGAGTAAATTGAACAATGTTTTCACATATCAGCTTTAGCTGAGTTTTTGACATTCTAGTATTTGGAGGCAGAAAGTTTTCTGATCTTTAAAGTTGTTTATAATATTGTTGCTTTCTGAGACTCTTACATCTAGATGAAGCTGACAGGTAAAGCGTGGTAAATGTATTAAATGCTGTGTCACTCAGTTGTCTGTATTTATGTTTATGTAAGTAAGCCAATGTATAAAAACCTTATTACAAGACTATGCTGTTCTTAATGCTAGCTATTCTGTTCATCCAAGGAATCAGCATCTTTACTGAGTTGTGAGGCTTTTGTTAATTTAGACTGAACCTTAACATAATTAGCTTTAAACAGTTCATTATGTTTTTTTCTTTAAGTTCTCATTGAATTTTAATACGTTTAAACTTTAATGATTAATTTTCATGGAAAGGTGGTCATCTAATACTTCAGGTTTACCGTTATTCCTTACTGTCCCTTGTGACTGGGATTGCTGTTCTCTCCATATTTTCTGTAACTTGCTAACCAGGGATCTGCCTGCCCTGTCATTCTTCATTCTTTCATAAAATTTGTGCTTTATATATCTTGACATTTTTTCTTTCTTACTTGTTTGAATGAGATCCAATTTACCTCTCACTTTCAGAATTCTCTTATAATGCTTTTGGAGCCTGTCTGCTTAAGTTTTAATTACAGGACTGAAAAGACCTTTGTGAGATGCTATTCTTCCTTGAGTCTTCTTTGTTGTTTACCCAGTGTAGCACTCTTGGCTAATAAAGTTTCTCTCTTATTACCATGTCACCAAAACATCTCTGCATTTTCCTATCCTCTTAATCTTTGTTATTTTCCATCTGAAAATCCACATTTAATTCTCATACCTGTGTAAGATTCTAGAATTGTTTTTTTTTTTTTTTTTTTTTTTAACTATTTGTTTGATTAATGATCATCTCTATTGTATTTGTCTCAAGAAGATATGTTTTTATTTGATCTAGGATTTCCATAGTGGGTATGTCAGTGAATGATAAAAGTAACTGATCCATTTCCCTTAATATTAGAAACATGAAAAATACTGTTCTGGAGTAATACAGATTAATAAATCTAATTGCTAGGTTTAGAGTCCTTCATAATCCCAATATTATTCAAATCCTTTTTCTTTTAAAAGTTAATAGCTCTTAAAATATTCCTCCCTGTGTAATTCTCATCCATTGTAACATGTAATTTATAGTTTTATTGAAAATCCCCAACAACATAGCTTACATTTCCCTGATCTAACCATGTTAAAATTCCTAATAATCTGCAAGAAGAAAGGGACTTGATTCTGCTTAAAATGTGTAGGGATAGATACTGTTAATTTTCCTTTAGGTGATTTTAATATACCTTCTTTCTTCTTTCTTCATTTGTATAATTCAGAATTCAGGACAGATGAAATAGATTCAACTGATTAATTATCTCTTTGACTTTTGCCATTTTTGGTAGCTGTGTGGTAGCTGTACATTCATTGTTCTTAGATAACTTTTAGTCTTACTTTGTAAAATTATTTATTGCAAAAGTCTTTATTACTTTAAAAACCCTCTTTCTCTTGAGAGTTATTCAACTCTCACCAGTTAATGTCCATAAGTTTTTGATTTATTCATTCCACTGTAATTTTCCAGCCTGTACCAAAACTTTTTTTTTTTAGGATGTAACTCCACCAGTTTATCTTATATATGTTTATTATTATTGCTTGACATGCTGTTGTGTATGTCCATAGCCATAGCAGCAAAACACATGTATACTATTTAAAGCTCCAATCCACTTTATAAACCAAAATGGCCAGAAAGTGTTCCCCTGTATTCTCATGAAAGTCCTACTTATGCATCTCAAAATTAGTTTTATGGCCTTTATCCTTTCTTGTTTTCCACAAAATATTGAGCTTTCTTCCCACTTCTGATAGACAGAAATGTCTAATTCCTTCCTACACGATGAGTAAACTTCTTAGACTCTCTTGAATTCCCATATGGAGATGTTTAGGCACTGCATTTTATTTTTCAGAAACTACTGGCCTCTTTGGACTTGCACAGAGATGTACTTGAGGATTCCTTTCATTCACGTCCATTATTATTCTGTATTTATTCTCATCCCTTTCTTTCTGCTCTTTGTCTCTCTTTAGCTCTAAAATATGCATTTTTGCCTTCTTTGCTCTGTATGCCCTGTTTCCTAATGAGGACAGCACTTTTTTCTTCCTGCAAGTTTTTTGTTCTGCTCTGAATCGTGATCTTCCAATGGGTGCCTTCTGGGGGATTAGTGTTTCAAATTGGTACATGTGGCATCTGTTCAATAAACTATGTGCAAGTACTTTCAGGAAGAGAGAAATATCAGCAGAGTGTTATTGGAGTGTGCCATCATCCTCTTGAGTGTTAGCTGTCCTGTAAACCACCAGGTCCGATTCTTTAGCACAATAAGTTGGTTGTGCAGGTTGTTGTCATCCTGCATATTTATTGGGAAAAGACTGCATTGATGCAGATAAGC